CAAGAGAAAGAGAGCTTTGTAGCTTCCTCTGGGGATGAGAGAGTCTTTTTTCCTTCGTTGGTTTTTGACCACAGCAGCAGAAGAGTCTGCCGTACACGGGCTAAGCCGCTTGCAAAGCGGCACCTATCCGAGCACGAAACGCAGCCTCTTGCTTCAGCTTCTTCCCTTTCTTCCTACTTGGGTAAAAGTCTTTTTTTTCCCCTTGCAAGCAACAGGCAGGAGACAAACAGACCGAGCAAAGCACAGGCATACTCTAGGTGTATATTTATCTCCGTATCTATCTCCTCAACCTCCTTCTTTCCAGCAAGGCTAAAGGCCCCCCTCTCCTGGCAGAGACCACAAACAGGGTAGCACAAGCAGCGCGGGTAGGGAAGCAAGGGCTGGCATCGCTCGGGACTGCAGTGGGAAGAGGAGCAGCCGCAGGGATGGAGATAGAGGAAGGATTTCCCCTGGGGAGATGGCAACCGGCAGGGAGGATGCCGAAACCACGGACAGGGAAGGGGTTAGAAGGAGCAAGAGCCCGTGGGTTTGCTTTGCAGAGCAGCGTCTCTATGGGAGCGATCAGAGATGATAGCTGGGGAGAGGGAGTCTTGCAGGCAGAGCAGAGGGCAGCGCCTGCAAGCCCGGCAGTTTGTCAGCCAGGCAAAACCGTTTTCAGCAGATATTTACTCAATTTTCTAGAAAGAGATTGGACAGGGTGAAAGGCGGCAGTGCCAGTTCACCGCGACTCTCGTAAACATCTTTCTGTCCTTGGCTCACGTGGGCCTTCCTGCCAGCCAGCTGGGATTTTCATTTTAAGATTTCAAGCAAATCAGTCCCCAAAAATGCCCCCAGGGAAGAACCGCAGCGTTTGGCCCGGGCCAGCGTTTGCCACAGCCGGCTGCAAGGGACCCCGGCTCCGTCTGCAAGGCCTGGGAGCCTTCCAGCAAACGCTGCCCCAGTCTCAGGCTTTTTGAGCAAAACCAAGCCTAAGCATCTAATCTACAGATTCGAGTGGTCCCGAAGGCTGATAATCAAATGCAAAATTGCAGCTAAGTTCCCTCTAGCAAGTAAAACAACATGACTGACGCTTTTTTTTTTTTGGCTTTCTCAGAACTATATAGCACAATTCTAGCATCTATTTTGCTTGAGGCTGCTTGCAGGGATGGCTGATAGATCCTCCCATACAACCCGTGCCGATATACCTGCCTGCAAACCCATATACATACAATACTACACCTCCCCACACTGAAAGATTTCATTCCTGAAAAAAAAAAAAATTACTTTCAATAAGTAGGTCATAGCAAGGCAATTTGTACAGCCAGATTTTTCTTTTAATTCCTTTTTTCCTTTTCAGGAAGCTGATAGATGGCAATCTATAACCCCAAAGTGGAAATTTATTTTTAATCTGAAATTGCCAAATATGATCAGAAACATAATTTATGCTCGAGCCATTCTCGCTCCTTCAAAATGAAAACACGATTTCATAACCCCATTCGTGCTATCGCATACCACATTATTCTCCAATAAGCCCAGAGTTGCAAAAAAGTGCTTAATTTTCTTGGCATGAGTCAGGTGAATGACACACGAGTCCAGGGGAGCTTTTTGTGAATAACTACTGAGCCCTCAATGTCTACAACCATTCACTGCAGACACAAAGGACATGGGCTCCCGCACCGCTCACCACGCTGACTCATTTATCCCCTCGTTAATGGTGGCCCCAATTAAGAAACAATGATTGAGAGCCTTACTTGGCTGGAGCCATTTTGAGCCCTTCTCGCCCCAAAGGCATTCC